TATTTTATTGTAATATTTATTTATAACGTAGATTATTTATTTTTTCTCTTAGCTAAAATTTGATTAATTTTAGTATTTTTTTGTAATCAAAAATTTGTTCAATAAGCTATTGGATATTCAAAATAAATTGACCGAAAATTGCAAAAAGAATAAATAAAATTTCATCTCTGACAACGCTTACAATCTCAATTCATTTTAGTTACTTTCACCTCATCACTACAAAAATCCTAAACACACACCAACTTGCAATTTCCATTCATTTCTCCGGCGTTTATCAGCTGAATAATATTTTTTTTTTTTCAGTTTGTGTCAACACTATACAGATTATTGTTTTACAGTTGTTGTTGCCATTTAATTTGTATGTTGCAAAATTAATTGCTTAGAAATTTCCACTAGAACAGGTAACAGCAGTGCTTGCATTTATGAAATGTAAAACTCTTTTCCGTAAATATGTAAAAGCGCCTGCAATCAGTTGGAATTATTTCGCCTGAAGTAAACTAGTTCTTGTTGGACTATATGCCAACCAATTTAATATGGGTCATATGAAATAGGTCGGTAGATAAAATATTAATTTAATTGACTTAAAAATATAAAAAAATTACTTTAATTCACTTAAAAGCATTTAAGGCTTATAAGTCATTTGAGATGTGTATCGATTATTTTGGCAGTGTTATCGATAGGAAAGTGATAAATATGTAGAAAATTTACTGAATCATTGAAGTGGCCACTATAAATTTTTCAAACACTAATATATAAAATACCTATTGTAATTATGTTATATCCCACATATCGATAAAATTAAACTTTTAATGAAAAGTTATCGATTTTGAAGTTTACTTTCCACTTTCGTGACAGAACTTGAAATTGCGTGTATAAAAATATATATTTTTTTTTATTTATATATTCTGATTTATTACCAGATATTGTAACTTGAGTTAATTAAGTTATCCTTTCATAATACTGACTCTTAATTACATAGAATTATGCTGTGAACTATAATATTAAACTTAGCTTTAAAATTTAATAAGTATAAGTAAATATTTAAATCTTAATATTAATACCCAACGTTTTAGCTAATAATTACCACTTTAGAATTTTTTTAAAATATTAACTATAATTATTATTGTTATCGATAATTTTTCCGATAACTTTAGATTTTTCTGTTCATTTTAAATTTTTGAAATTTTACTGAAATAAAATATGTATTTATTGTAAATGTTTCGTGAGTGATTGGTTATCGATAACATATCGATACATTTTTAGATAAGTTTAGACATTTGGTAATATTAAATTTTTAAAAATTTAATCGAAGACATTATAAATGGCTTTGTTACTGCTCATAATCGAACAATTATGACTGCAGCATATTTTTCAAGAAATGCATAAAAGTCACAACGTTTGCAATAATCTTTTAAAAAAGAAAACAATGTTGCTGTACCATTGTATGCTATTATTTTAAAACCAATTTTATAATTCTCTAATATTTTTCTATTGCCGTATAATAAAATAAAAAAGATTTCATACATACAAACACTGATCAATTAAAAAAAGTAAACGTTAAGTGAATTTAACGGAAAGTCGATACGATATATGTATATTACCGTAAATAACAAAAATAACAATGTAATAATTATCGATAAATCGCTTCGGAGAAATATCGATAGTTCGATGCAGTAGTGTTATCGTAAATAGCAAAAATTACATTCTAACAATTATCGATAACTTGTTATCAAAAAAATATCGGCTGGTCGATACTTCCGTTGTTAACGTAAATAACATAATAATATAAAATTGGGCTTAAAAAAACTGGATTTACTGCTAAAAGAAATATCCTAAAGTTATTTATATTATCATTATCAATATAATATCGATCAGTCGGCTGAAACATCATTTAATTGCATGAGAAATTTTTTATGTTTCTCAAAGAAAATACTTACTTCTTGTCCAACAAAAGTCGATAATTCTTTGATATATTATATCGTAAATAATAAAAATTTACATGTTATAAATATCGAAAAATTTTTATCGGAAAATTATCGATAAGCCGATACTATAGTACTATAACAATAATATAACATTTTGCGTTCATTAAAAATTTTGTTTTTAAATTTCTGCTTAAATTTTATGAAAGAATGAAATACCGTTTGAAATTAATTAACTATAACTGCCGCTATTTCTCGGAAAAAAATTAAAATATTTTAATAACAATAACAACATAACAATAAACAATGTGTGCAATAACATATAATCTTCATTATTTAAATTGAATGCCTATAGTTTCCTGATTCCAATGAAAAGTCCAATGAAATTCAGTAAATATTTAC